CCTGGCAGTGCAAATAAGGCAACTGAGGCCGTGACAGTAGGTTTGATCCACCGGAATTCGATCCTTGTCAGAGTTGAAAGTCTTGTTGCATTTTGGGCATTTCAGCGACTCGAACCGATACATACCTGAAATGAAAAATATTATAATTGAGGCGAATGATAGAGCACCGAAAAGATCAAAGACATTGTGATCTCGGCCTTTTGCCGCGAGCCCCGCCACGGCATTACATTTTTTGGTACAATTCGGATAAGCGGAGGGAGACGGCGTTGAAAATAATAGCGAAACTGAAACAATTTTGGGTTACGGTAGCGGATCCACGTTTAAGTGGCGGGGCACCCTTTAGCGAACAGTACAATCACTTGGATAATAAAGTGATACTCCAATGTAGTTTTCTATTGGTTATTTCACTTTTTTATGGATAGTAATAATTAATCAACAAAAAAATCAGACAAGCACACGCCTTGCGTTTTTTGCTCGCGCTTCTTGCCGATTTTTTTGCTCGACTTCTTGCTGAAACGCATTTGGAAGTGTTTATTTCGACAAAAAGAGCAAAATAATAACAACAGGAACAACAGAATAAACAATAGCAACCTGACTCGAGGGATTAATCTTTGGCTTTTCTTTGCTGCGCCAAGAACACATTCCTTGCGGTTCGTTTCTCCATCTGGTACGTCTTGCTTGCATCGAGGATCGGCGTGGCCTTTCTATCCTCTTTGGCAAGTTTGTCAAACTGATGTTTGTTGAGCTTTTAATCGAAAAGAAACAGAAGTTCTCATGCTCAGTTGCTATTAGCCATGCGTTAAACATAGTTTCGGAGTCGAGCTCAAGCGTGGCATTTGCGCATCTAAGAAGCATTTACTTAAAGACGCTTCTACTTCCGACATTATACTGGCCGAAATATTCTATTATAGGAAAATCCTCGCTATTCATTTCACTCCGTGAGACAAAGAACTGACAAAATGCGTTTCAGCATGCAGTCGAGCAAAAAATCGGCTAGAAGCGCGAGCAAAAAACGCAAGGCGTGTGCTTGTCTGATTTTATTGTTGATCAATTATTATTATCCATAAAAAAGTGAAATAACCAATAGAAACTACATTGGAGTATCACTTTATTATCCAAGTGATTGTACTGTTCGCTAAAGGGTGCCCCGCCACTTAAACGTGGATCCGCTACCGTAACCCAAAATTGCCAGTTTCGGGCTATTATTTTTCAACGCCAGTGGGGGGGGGGGACCGAACTTTTTTCCGTCCAAGCCTATATTTTTTATATAAATAGTAGAAGTGTTTCTAAATTGTTCATAGCTATTCCTAAACATAAAAACTTTACAAAACTTAATCAAAAAATTTAATTTTCGGTCGAAAAATCAATTTTTTCGGCCCAAAAATGACCAAATTTTCGACTTTTTCAAGCGTTTTTCTAACTTTTCAAAAAGTTTTTCCGATTCAAATAGGCTTAAATTTTGCTAAAAACAATGTGAAAACACTTTATAATTGATTACTATCCCCCACCAGGGCCGACGAAAAAAAAGTTGTTCCCCCCGCCTATCCGAATTGTACCCATTTTTTCACCAAAAGGAACGGATAGGAAAGCTGATACGAGACGCGCCTATGCACGCTCAACTGTCCTCGGACGGTGTAATTTGTACTCATTAAGCGGAAAACCAAGTTTTGCTACAAAAAACGGTTTATCTTGAAAATTCCCTAGAAAATCGAAAAACAAAATAGATTAAAATGTGCCACCGAGGATTGCGCCTCTTTTGAGGCCCGCGATCTCGAAAATCTATTTTGACGTATTTTGGCAATAACGGTTTAGGTTTTTGGTTCTAAATATCCGTATTTCCAAACCTAGGAAGGCAACAAAAAGAAACGAACACGGCGAATACCGTAGCGCCACCTGGGCCTGTGTCGCGATATATCGTCAGCTGGAAAATGTTCAAAATAGAAATTATTACCTATAAAATAACAAAAACTTTGATAAAGATTGGGAAACATGGGAATTATGCTATCGTTTTTCATCTTCTGACGTACTTTTGAACATGCCGAGGCCGATTTCTTATGAAAATCACGTTACAATGTTCGTTCTCGGTATACCAGCGGAAGGCATATGAAAAAAAGTTTTTAAAAACCATTTAGAACATTACTTTAAACGCCCAGACTCGATTACAACGGACTTTAGAAGTCTCTTGATGATGCCAAGTTGGCGCTGGCATGGTCACCCCATAAACTCCTCGGCAACACCTAGGAATCTAGCGTTGATTTGGATATTCCAGCCACCAGGCGAATTTTACATAAATTTGCACCTTAATCTGACGAATCCAGGGAGTTTCGCGATTTTTCTACCGTCGTGCTAGAGGATATTCGGCTTCTTCGATGGCCTCCGGCTCTTCGAGCTCCCGCAAATCGTTGCCCGCACCTGATGGCGGTTAGGAATTTTAGTTGTTTTTTTAGCAGCGTTGACTATATTTTTGCTTTGATCATTGGGGCGGGCTAGCAGAGACCATTGAGGAAATCACCCCATTTTATCGTATTTCCAGTCTCTCTGCTGCTCTCCCACTTGGTGCCTGACGGTGGCGGTGGCGAGAAGACGAGGGTGGCCGAGGACAAGACCCAGAGCGCCCGGTACGTGGGGATACGATGCGGGGATACGATATCTTTCTATGCAGGACCTCCTCCCTGCTGGCCCCCTTGTCGCAGGGCGGCTACATTGACATTGTCACCATCACGCATGCCGAGCGGATGGATACGGTAGGTATTTCTTGGCGTGGCTTTGCATCTACCATCTGAACACATTGCGTTTTCTAGGTGTTCCCGCCTGGCTCCGACTGGCCTACCGCGGCGGCGGCGAGCTGTACACCCCGTGGGACCTGAACATGCCCGCGTCGATTCCGAGGTGAGCCGGCTAGGTCTATTTTTAAAAATCGATTCAAAAAGTCGCATGAACTATTTAGGCGCCCGGTGGCCCACTATCGCGGTGATCCGCCGATCACCGTCCACGGCGCCACCACCGCCGGGTTGCTGGGATGCGGGCTGAGAAAGTCTGACATTACGCCCACCATGGTAGGGAAGGGCGTGAACGAGAGAGAGAGAGAGAGAGAGAGAGAGAGAACGTTGCATTTAAAGATTTACTGCGGCCCCGAGCTGCGCTGCGTGGAGACGGCTGCCGGGCTGCTGACGCGGATGGACGCCTCGTTCCTGTCGATCCGCATCGAGCCATCGTTGGCCGACTGGGCCGTCGCCCATGATCACGGAAATTATTGGCTCACACCGAGACAGGTATGATAGCAGAGACCATGGGAAAATTGCCTTATATGGTCACTAAACCGATTTTGGATTTTTATATACCAAAATGCTCAGCAGTTCGAGCTGGTTCAGGATCAGTTGAAAAAACTATTGGGAAACACTTTTGGAGCGAGATATACCGCTTCAAAGTTGGCGAGTGTCGTATATGGTCACTAAACGGATTATCGATTTTAATATGTCAAAATGCTCAGCAGGTCGAGCTGATTTTCGATCAGTTGAAAAAACTTTTGGGAAAAATCTCTGCCGCGAGATATCTAGCTTACAAACCGTCCATTCAGCCCCTGAAGTAGTACGTAGTACACCAAAATACGTCAACTGTACATCGGAAAGAAACGGAATGGTGGAGAATTGCCGTTTCATAGGTAAAAAACACATTGTCAGGCAAGGTGGGCCGTCGCTTCGGATGGGCTTGCCGCTCCTCTTTCGAAAAGGCGCCCCCGGCCGCTTCGCCGGCCTTGGCGCCCCATTTCGAAACCCTGTATGAGCTCGCACCCATCCGAAGCGACTAGGCCCCGCGGTGGCACGAAGCCTTATTTTTAGGCTCAGATCGGGTGTGTAGTTTCATGCCAAACCCATTTCGAACCCAACCATTTTTCGCAACACCGAAAACTGACTCGCCGGGGCGACAACGTTATGTAGTGGGCCGGGGTGACGCCAAACTTTGTAGTGGTATATCTCGCTCCAGAAGTATTTCCCAAAGGTTTTTTTCAACTATTCTAGAATCAGCTCGAGTATATAAAAATCTAGGTATATAAAAATCCAAAATCCGTTTAGTGACCATATAACGCAATTTAGCCGAGACCATTGAGGAGGGCTAGCAGAGACCATTCCGGGAGGGCCTGCACAGAACATTCATTTCAGCTGAGCTACCTGGGCTTCCCGATCGACCTGTCCTACCACCCTCTCCTCCCCGTCGCCAAGTTCCCAACCGAAGAGAATCCGCAGCAATACCTCGAACGGCTCGGCGCCTTCTATTTGCATGCCCGCCAGACGGCCCCCGATCAGTGGGTTGTTGCTGGTTTTTCTGTCTTTTTTTACCCCGATTTCGACGCGTAACGCGCAAGACCATTCCTTACTCATTCCAGGTCGATCGTGGTGGTGGGGAACCCGGGTGCGATCATCTACTCGCGTGGCCAGGGCCCGCGCGTCGCCGAGAAGCTGTGGAAGCTGTGCGAAGCCGTCGAGCCCCTCTCCGTCCACGCCATCCGTGTCGGCAACAACAAAGTGGTATGACAATTCATTAATGGATCCTTCAACTTGACATCTTCAGCTCGAAGGCCAGCTGAGGCTGCTCCCGTTGACGCCCACCGTCTTCAAGGCGCGCGAGGTCGAGCGCCTCGCCAAGAAGGCCAAGGATTAGAATGATGTTTTGAACTTCGAATAAATCTTTTTTATGTTGCAAGTTTTCCGAAAGGAAAGGGAGATAGAGAGCGAAAGAGAGAAAGACAGACAGAGAGTGAGAGCGAAAGAGCGAGAGAGAGAGAACGAGAGACAGAGAGGGAAAGCAAAACTTCCGAAGACGCCTCTGCTAGTCCTCCTCAATGGTCTCTGCTAGCTCACCTCTACTTACTCCGGTCTTGAAACCGGAAATGATGATCAATCAGCGTTCCGCAATTAGAATTTCGAATACGGGATGGAACATCGCAGTTTCGCGATTCCATTTTCATTTCGACTTCCACTCCCCGAAGATGTGCTGCTCGCTGTTGAGGGTACGGCTCGGTGCTGTTGGTAGACTCCTCCCGCTTTTCAGTGCTTCCTGGGATGCAGCAATTGCACGAGCATCATCTCCCACTCGATCATCTTCTTCACGCTGCTTGTCGGGCTCATCGTGGTCAACTCGATTGGGTGAGTTGGCTGGCTTAGGCTTGGCTTGGGTTTAGGCTTTGGATTAGGCTTGGGCTTCCGCACACCCTCTGACTGAGCTCTCTTTAGTGCGCCGTGCAGCTGCGTGTTGCGCGACTACCCGAAGGAGCTGCTCTCCCGCAACAAGGGCTACCAGGAGATGATGCACAAGCTTGTCGGCGACCCCGAGCAATATGTGAGTCAAACTTTTAGACATTTAAGGGCCGCGGGAAGACAAAAGCTATAGACATTTTTAGAATGACCGCTGCACGCAGTGGAAGCTGATGGCCAGCGCGCAGCAGAAGAAGGATGCGGCTGATCATCTAGACCCGGTTACTGTGGGTTATATGAGAGCCAGAGAGCCAGAGAGCCAGAGAGAGAGAGAGAGAGAGAGAGAGAAAGAGAAAGAGAGGAGAGGGAGAGTGAGATAAACGGACAGAAAGGCACAGAGACAGAGAGAGCGCGAGTGAGATCGAGAGACAGATAGAGATCGCCACACACCTTTCCAGATCTCCCGCCTGAGCGAGTCCGACCTGCTCCAAACTACGGCGTATCAATTTTTCCGTTCCAGTAGCGCTATCTTTTTTCTAGCACCTGCCTGGCTGCCAACAAGTGGTGGGTGATGGTGCTGCTCCTCGGATGTGAGTTAATTTTCTTCCCCAATGATCACTGCTAGCCTGCCCTCCAAAGTCCGCAAAGATCTCTGCTAGTCTGCCCTCATTTCCAGGCCTCGCCGTCATCATCCTGGCCAGCTCGCTGTCGTGCATCGGGTTGAACCGTGAGACGCAGTACGGATGGCAGATACCCGCCATTATCATCACGGTACGCAACGCTACGCGCTTAAGGGTGTACTTTGTGCTATAGGGGATGTACTTCGTGGCGTCGGTGTATCTGCTGTACTCGGCTTCTTCGGTCACTTCGGATTTGGGACCCTATCGATGGACATCCATCGCGACAGCGTGTATGTTAGGGGAAGAGAGAGAGGGAGAGAAAGAGAGAGATCTGTCCACCTCGCACTCCCTCTAGCTCTGTGTCTCACTCCTTTCATTTGCGCTCTCACTCTCGCTACCGCTCTCTATCTTTCTCTCTCTCTCTCTCTCACTCTCTCTCATACCAACCTTTTCCAGACCATCCGATCAGCTATGCCATCTACTTGGGTCTGTTGGTGGCCTTCCTCATCCACACACGATCCAGAATCGCACCCACGAGTACCAAGTCGCCTCGCAGAGCGAACACTAGAAGGTACCTCAACTTTTCCCTAGTGACCGCTGCAAGCCTAACTGCGTCCATTGTATCCACCGATTCCACTTGTTTCCCCAATAACCTCTGCTAGCCTGCCCTTTCAGGGATCTACGCCACTGGCCTACTCGTCCACATCAACATCTCCCGGGCTGCCCAAATGATCACTGCTCGTTTACCCGACCATATCTGACCCCCTATTCCCCTGTGATGTCATTTGTTTCTTGTGCGGGCAATAAATTTGGGATGCATGAGAGAGAGGGAGAGAGAGAGAGGGAGAGAGAGAAAGTGGGATACGAAATAGACAATGAGAGTGCGAGAGAGCGACAGAGTTAGAAAAAGAGAGAGCAGGAGGGAGGGAGTGAGAGAGGGAGATATTGCGAGAGAGAGAGAGAGAGAGAGAGAGAGAGAGAGGTAGAGAGAGGGAGAGAGAGGATAGAGAGTAAGAGATAGAGAGACAACGCAAAAGAGAGTCACAGCTAAACAGCTATAGTTATTTATTACTACCAAACCTATGACAAAGATCAACACTTCAACTGCTTCATCAACTCCCAACCGTCACGTAATCGCGTCTCGCCCTAAAATCCCGAATTTGCAAAAAAATAATTTAGCAGCTTTCACCTTAAAAGCATGTGCACAAATCAACGTTATGTGGCCGTCGAAGCAGTGGAACTTCTTCGGGACGGCCGACTGAATGAGACGTTTTAAAGGGACCGAGAAGTCAGACGGTCGTCGAGTTTTACTTCCGAAAATCACGTACGTCGTAGATATACCCATCCATGTACACGTATTTGATTGAAGTGTTGTTGGCGAGTAATCCGGTCACGTAGGCGTCTTCGATCTGTAAAATCTTCTGTGTTCTCTCCATCTTGCTGTATCTCTCTCTCTCTGATCCTCGCTCTGTCTTTCTCTCTCTCCCTAGGTCTCCGTCGCTGTCTCTACTTCCCTATACCTCCCTCTACCGCTCGCTCCCTATCTCTCGCTCTCTCTCACGCTCACACTTTCTCTCTCGCTCATTCTCTCACGCGCTCTCACTTTCTCTCTTGCTCTCTCTCTCGCTCTCTCTTTTTCTCTCGTCGCTCACTCACCGGAATCAATGGCCATTTAACAGTCGCAGCTAGCAGCAGCGGGCGTAGCTTCCGTGAGATGATATAAGCCAACCCCTTGGCATAGATTGGGTAGTATGAACCAGGAAGTTTGTCTTCCGAGACGTACCTGGAAAGGGCAGGCTAGCAGAGATCCTTTAGGAATCGTTGACGCTAGGTTTTAGGCTGAATGACCCCGGGCCGGCTAGCAGAAACCTTTGGGGATTCGGGTCAAGGTTGTATCTTCTGGCAAGGTAAGCCATCAGAGATTCTTTTGGAAACCCCGACTATCCAGCTGGCAGAGGCATTTTCGGAAGGTTAGGTCGTGCCCAGAGATACCTAGCAGAGATTTTTTGGGGGAAGCAGGACCCAGTCAACTAGCAGAGATCCTTGCGGAAACGGACCATTTATGGTTTTGTTGTCGTATGATGGGTGTCGAACCCTCGGCGGCAACCAGCCCGGCGATGAACGGGGTTCCTAGCTGAAAAATGGCTGTAAAATCTAACTTTATGAGCCTACAAATCCAGTAGCATCCAATCGACGTTGCACGTTGTCGATGTCCATCAACACGTCATCGTCGGCCTGAGATTTTTAAATAATTGTAGGCCTAAGTTAAGCCTAAGCCTAAGCTTCAGCCTACGCTAAGCCCAAGCTAAGCCTAAGTTAAGCGTAAGCTAGGTGTAACTACTCTAAGCCTACTCTAAGCCTAACTTGCAAGCTACCTAGGCTAAGCCTAAGTCCAAGCTAAACCTAAGCCTAAGCCTAAGCTAAGCTTTTTCTAAACCTAAGCTAAGCCCAAGATTAAGCCTAAGTCCCTGCCTAAGCCTCAGCCCAAGCCCGAGCCCAAGCCTAAGCCCCGCGCACCTTGATGAGAATCCCGGCCGGGCAGTAGACATCGTGGAATTTGAGCATGACAAGGCTCTAAAATAGCGAGGGATTACGGTATATGAGAGCGTACCTTATAAACCAAAGCTCGATAGCTATCAATGGCTGAATATTGAACAATGTCATTATAGAGGGAGGATTCTTTCTCGATATCTTGCTGAATCTTCGGGTCATTCGTTGAGCCGAGGAGGAACAGTACAAGTGAGTGACCATTCTAAAGAAGGATACACATACGGTAATCTGTATACTGTTGGATACCGTACTGTAATCGATACGGTAGTTGATACCTGAATTAGAACACTCTCATTTGTGCCGCCCCATGTATGCCGAATGCCCATACGACTGTCAAAACTTGACGGTGCCGATTGGACCATTACCAATTGCTTTAATCCACCGCAATTTAGAGACTAAAATTTGTAGTTAAAGGGATGTCACGGATCTAAAGCTAAACTTAAGCCTATGCATAACCCTGTCTAAGCCTAAGCCCACACCTAACAAGGGAAGGACGGACGACAGCATCGTGTTCTCCGTAGTCGATTACCCCGGGGTAGCCGCGAGCGTTTTTCGAAATTCCAACCTGTTGCATGTGCCCTTCCTTGAAAGCAAGTCAGCCTAAGCCTAAGCCTAAACCTAACGAAAGTAAGCCCAAGCGAACTGCCTTGGTCCACGATTTTACGGCACCCGCGACACGCGGCGCGCACGCTACGTCACGCTAAGCAGGCAGCGCAACCGTTACGCAATATAAATACCGCAGCGCCGAATCGCTTGCGTGCTTACGACAAAATAGACCCGGATTTTGAGCGAGTCGCGACGCAAGCGCGACGCAAGCGCGACGCAAGCGCGACGGAACCGCAACGCACCGTCGGCAACATCGTGAAATTGAAGTGCGCCTCCTCGTCCGGGAATCTCAAGAAAATCTGTCGCCCTCCTCCCCTAAATAATAATGGATTTATTTTAGTCAAAATTGAGCAAAAATGACTTCTTGCCGTCGGCGTACGGTGGTCCAGACGGCGAGCACTATTACAGCCAAGGCGATAATTGCTGTAATTTTCTCGATAATAAAAAACCATTTCTTTTGCATTATCGGTGGGGGACAAAATTTTTGTAGAATTCTAATAATGGCTAGTAAACAATAAGAAGTATTTTATTCGTTGTGTTAAAACAATTTAGCTATATTTAAGGCGGAAAACTTACCAAAAAAATTTCCAACAAGCCAAATCTTTGTCAACTCTTTTTACCCATCCGATAATACTTCCCTCCCCCAATAATGCACAAGCACCAAAATGTATGCTATGAACGTATGACTAATATATTTTACCTAAAAATCGGGACGTCCTGCGCACAAAACAACTCCTCAAAATTGTGGGATTTGCGGGTTTTATATAGCTCATTATGATATTAGTATTATTAATATTAAAATAAGGTAGTTTAAGTTAGATTACGGTAGACTACCGCTCTTCTTTTACAGCAGTAACAATATCAATCGATAATTACCACTAGAGAGCGCTGATCATCCACATTTGGTGGGTGTTTGATGTGTAAATCATGCTCAAATATCGGGGCTTCAAGCTGCGGGAGGCACCCGGTTAGACGAGGACAATATACAGATATTGGGTCTCGACACGATTTGTTTGCGCCATTTAAAAATGACAAATACCCCCAACAAACCACATCAGTCATGTTCTGACAATTTGCTGGTTCTTTTCAAGCAAAAAAATTATCGATTTAGCGTAGAGTCGGCAAGCTTTGAGTCAAGCGGACTAGCAGAGCTTCTGGAGGGCTAGCGGCGGCCATCGGGGAGGGCTAGCAGGGACCATTGAGGAGGGCTAGCAGAGACCATTGAGGAGGGCTAGCAGCGACGATTGAGGAGGACTAGCAGAGACCATTGAGGAGGGCTAGCAGAGACCATTGAGGAGGGCTAGCAGAGACCATTGAGGAGGGCTAGCAGAGACCATTGAGGAGGGCTAGCAGAGACCATTGAGGAGGGCTAGCAGAGTCCATTGAGGAGGGCTAGCAGAGACCATTGAGGTGGGATAGCAGAGACCATTGAGGTGGGATAGCAGAGACCATTGAGGTGGGATAGCAGCGGTGATTTGTTGTGTTTTTCATAGCTGTGCGTATATTCCTTTTTTGTGTGCATGAACTGCGATAGCGTCTCATTTGGCAACAACGCATTTATTTACACGTTTTTTTCGGGTGGAGGGCTGGGTTTTTCATAGAAAAATCGCGAAGAAGACACAGAACACATTTATGCTTTTTTGGCATCGTAATTCACGCCTATATTTATTACCGGGGGGAAGGGGGGGGACCAGACGAAAAAGAAGTACATCACGCGGCGACAAAGCGTCAAAAAAAACCGGGGTAGCAAAAAAAGTGTCCACCGATAAATATTAGGGTAAGTAACGCGGGGGCGGGTGAGATCCGGAGGGGGATGGTGTCACAGCGGCGGTGGTCGGGGCCCAGGAACCAGTCCGAGTTCCGCACCGCTGGCCGCAACATTCGCGAGGTGTTCATGGGGGGTTGACAAGAGGATGCAATTTGCATTTACACTTTTGGCTAAGAATGAAGTGGGATCGGGGACGGCAAAAAACACAAAGCAGCAGCAAAAAACACCCGGATGGCAAACGAACGAAGAAAACACCGCGGGTGGGGAAAGACTTGTGGCGACGAGGTTTTTTGTTTGGGGATGGAGAGGGACTTCCGGAAGGCGGAAGGGAGAAGCCGAGATGAGATACAGAAAATTTTGCGCAGGGGGAATTGTGTGACTAATTTTAGGGGGGAATACCGAAATTGGGGGCGATTTTGGGTGCTTAAGGTGGGCTTAGGTTTAGCAAAAAGGGCGTAAAACTATAGCATATCAATACAAAGAAATTTGGAAAAAATGCAGATTTTCTTGTCGGCAACAACACGAGAGTTTTCGAGAGTTTTTAACAAAACTCTCGAAAAGCGGTGGCAAGGGCTGAGAAAGGTTAGAAATCTGCTCGAATTCAGAATCAACGGGGGTTGACTAGGGCTCGGAAATGGGTTGTCACAGATTGGAGGAGGAGGAGGAGGAGGTGGAGGACCGGGAAAACGAACAACATACACTGTAAGAAGAGGAGACCACGAAAAAAAAATGCAAATTAAAGGGGGATGAATTTGTATTGGCTGATTAGGCTCAGATGGCCTGGGTGGAGAGTTGGAGGAGGGCAGAAGCGGCTACGGCGGCATCGGGCTTCATTGGGGTCGGGGTGTGGAGGGTGGTGAGGAGGGCTGAAAAATGGGGTTTATGCTTGAGCTTGAGCTTGGGCTCAGGCCACGCTTGACTTAGCTGCCTTGTAAGGGTTGGCTTGGGATTCGGTTAACGATTAGCTTAGCCTGAAGCCACTTTTAAGAGCCTAGAAATAGCCAAAAACTCACAATTGGTGCTGGTCGGCAGGGGCGGCAGCGTGAAGGGGTTCAGCTGGGGCAACTGCAAGAGCGGCGACGGCAGCGAACCGAGCAGCAGCTGCTGCACAAGTGCCTCGGTTTGAGACTGTTGTTGCAGCTGAAAAAGGTAGAGGTTGGATTTTGCAGGTAGATTGAAATTTGTCTACGAGTTTGGACAGGCCCGCGACACGCAACGCGCACGCCCCTCCGCCGACATCAAGGAGGTCACCCCAAGCCCAATCCAACAGCGCTACTAACCTGAAGCAACAGCTGCAACTGGGGCAGCGCGTTCGGCCCGCCCGCCGACAGCAGCGTGGACAGGAGTGCGGGGTCGAGTGGTGGTAGCGTGGGAGTGGGGAGTGATGATGTGGGCGTTGGGGGCAGCAGCTGATCGGCGAGTTGGGCGGTGGCCGACTGCATGCAGGGCTGGAAGGCGAACGCGTCAGGAAGCGAGCACTAAAGAACGTGTATTTTTGTGTATTGGTTTCAGGATTTCAAAATTATAATTTAGAAATTTCTCCCCCCCCCCGGTTAATGAAACAGAACCCAAGTCCTATTAAGCTTCACTTACATCAGCCGAAAACGGCGGCTTGCTGGCGCTGAGGGGTCCATAGTTGTGTGGTGGAATTTGGAGCGGGAGGGGGGGGCAGGGCCGAGAAGCCGAGGTTCAGCTTCAGCGGCGCGGGGCTGACCACCGGCACCGAGAAGGCGCTTGGTTCTGAAATTCGTACAATTATACCGTACTAGTGGTTTTTCGATTTTTCGATATTTCGATATTTTTCGAGTGGGTTTCCAAGCAACTTTTCGTCATAATTTCTTTAAAAGTGGTGGTTTAAAAAGATGCAAACTTTTTTATAAATTTTAGATCTAGTTTTCTTAAGAAATTTACATACCATAATTCCCGAGCATCGCCAGCTTTTTGGGGCTGTCTTCAAACGTGCCGTCCGAGTCGGTCTCGACGTTGATGGGAGATTCGGATGAGACACGAGCACGAGCCTGGCATGGGGGTACGGTAAATTATAAGCATTTTAGGGACATACCTTGAAGAGCGGACACTGCTCCCAGTGGGCGCGGAGGCCAATCTTCTGCGCGTATCCCTTGCCGCATCCCGCGCATTTGTGCCTGAAAATGGACCTAGTTGTTTTTACACAGGTCGGCAAGCTAAGCTGAGTCTAAGCTAAGCCTAAGCCCCAAAACCTAAGCTAAGCCTAAGCCCTATTAAAAACCAAAAACTTACGGCCTTATCCCCGGAAAGTGGGCGTTGCCGGATCTGGAAGTTCGCCTGCACTCCGCAATACGGGCATCTAAATTTAATGAATAAAATCGCTATAAAATCGATTAAGAAGTAGAAATATAGCAATAAAAATCAGAAAAACGCACAAATTGGTGGCGTACGAGAACCGCTTGGAGCACCCAGCACAGGTATGCTCCCCGATTGGCAGCTGGTGGATTGAGGCGGTGGATGAGGCGGTGGAGTGCTTCTTCCCTGCCCCTCCCCCATTGTGCGTCGCCTCATGGGCCGTCAGCTGGCTTTTCTGAACGGAATTTTTTTGGATGGCGTAACCGATTGCAGGGGGGAAGTTTCAATGAGCCGATTTTCAGTTCGAAACTGGCGGAAATAAAAAATACAAGGCGAAAATTATTGAAAATAAATTTTGATAAATTGGTACTATACTTTTCGTGTTGTTTTCACGTTCTTAAGCCTAAAAATAATTAAAAAATTAAATAATAAATTTACAGTTTGCAGACTACTGTAGGATGGTGGGGAGCCGATACACGGTAAGTGGGAATCGGCAGGGACAAGCTCTTAAATAGCGTAATCGATTACAAACCTGTATAAATGTGCGCTCGCACTGCTTGCAGGCGTACGGCCTCTCTCCGGTGTGAGTACGTTCATGCGACTGTAGATTACCCTGCGACGCGAAAGCCTTGGGGCAGGCACTCGCATCGAGTACAGGCCGCTCTCCCGTATGGGTACGTACGTGGACCTAGAAAAACCGGATGTAACGTGAGATGAATGAATTTAAGGCAATACCTGCAGACTTTCGGCGTAGGCGAAGCTCTTCTGGCAGTAGCTGCACACGTGCTTCCGCTCGTTCTGCTCGTGCACCTGCTTCACATGCAGCTTCAGGTAGTTCTTCAGCGTGAACGTTTTCGTGCAGAATTCGCACTGAAAATACGTTTTTCTGAGCTAGAGCCATTTTGGCTCTGAAGTGAGCCTTAATCCCCGAGCACTTACATTAAAGACCTTATCCCCGTGCGTCTTGCTTTGTGGGTGTAGAGGGCCGACGGCGACGACAGGTTCTTCTCGCACAGCGGGCACTTGTAGTTTCCTGATGCCGAGGTGGGCGCTCTTCTCGTGCACCGGCTTCGTGCCGTACTGGGCGAACCGTCTTCTCGCAGTATTTGCATTTGTATCTGGAAATGGGGAGGTTTTTGTTTGGAATATGATACGGTAAGGATGATTTTACGCTTAATTTAAGCTTTAGTCACGGAGCCAGGCTAAGCCTAAGCCTAAGCCACGGCCTAAGCCTCCATTAAGCTAAGCCTATGCCAAGCCTAAGCAACCGAAGCCTAAGTCGAATCCGAAGCGCATGCCATTCCTAAGCAAGCCTAGGCCCAGGACTAAGCCCAAGCCTAAGCCAAGCCTAGCGAATCATAAGCCTAAACCTAAGTCTAAGCCTAACACCGCTAAAACCCCAAAAAAGACTTACGGTCTCTCCCCAGTATGTGTCCTCTCGTGCACCTGCAGCGTGGCCTTTTGCGCGAATTTCTTGTCCGCAGAACCGGCAGTTGAACGGCTTCTCCCCGGTGTGCGATCGCTTGTGGCTTTCCAGGATTGACGGGTAGGGAAAATGCCTGTAATTAATGATACAAAAATCGTTTGGATTGTCACTACCTTTCCGCAAGTATTGCACTTGTGCTTCTTCTCGTGGGCCGGCCGGGTGGAGGAGGATTTGCTTTTTTGTGGAGCCGGCGGAGAAGGGCCGGAGGAGGAGAGCTAGGGGAGGGTACTTTAATTTCTAGGGTTTTGTACCTCGCTGCTGCTGGGCGGAGCTGTCGACACTGTGATTTGGGGGCTGAGGGAGCCGGCAGAGAATCGGTGGCCATCAACTGATGATGAGGAGGAGTCATCCTGTAAGATGAGCGATAGATAAGAGTGGAGAGAGACAAGTAGCTCCGAGAGATAATTTTTTGACTAGTTCTTTAAAGCCGCTACAAATGACTTGCTCAAGTGTTTTTAGGGCAGAAAAGAGAGAGAGAGAGAGAGAGAGAGAGGGGTGCGGAAGAGAGAGCAAGAACATGTGAAAGAAAGGGCGTGAGGAAGAGAGAGTGCCTGAGAAAGAGAGAGAGCGCGAAAGGGTGAAAAAGAGCAACAGCGAGAGGGAGAGAGAGAGATAGCTTCCAATTTTGCATAATTTTAACTCCTCAATCGGTTCCTAAACTTGTCCAACCTCCCAAATCCGCGTCAGTCTGTTTTTACACCCATTTCCGAACGCGTATTCTGAGCCCTCTCCCTCCCAGCTAAAGTGCAACATTTTTCGCTAAACCTCTGCTTTGGTCGGTCCAATTTTGCGCGCAGGAAGTGGCGGAAACTCCCGGTGAATTCTGCTTTGCTCTTCATGATATCAAAGAACTCAGAAACTGAGAGCTGAATAATTGGGGTAACGTGGAACTTTTTCTGGTTTTCGGGGTAAACATCGCGAGAGATCAGAGCGGCAAGGGGGGAATTCCTACCCGGGTGATGCCGTTCTCTTGTTTGTTGCATTTTATTGGATCAGCGCTGAAGTGTTTACAACGTTTTTTTTGAGGGTCAGAAAATGGGACTGAAACGACACGCCATCCAAGCCTAAGCCTTAAACCAACAAAAAAATCAAACTGGAAACTTATAAATTCTTAAAAATTAATTTTTTTGCGTTGCTAACTAAAGTTTACTTAAACGATAATTCCGCCCCCCCCCCGATAAATTCAAATTACCTCCTCTCCAACTCGGCCCCTCAGATTTTCATAAACTTGTCGAATTTGTCGGAATTTCTCCTTTTCAGAGCCGTTTCCCCGACAAATTAATCCAAGTACCAAACTAACAAATTCTACCCAGAATCGTTTCGTCCTTTCGCTTCCCTATGCGCAACATCAAATTTCCCCGGGCCCGAATAATTTCGGTTTATTTTATTAAGATTAGCGTTGACCGATGGCCACCTGGGCAGATTTTCCCGGAGCAGTCATCCGGATTGTCTTTGTTGAACGCATAGCATTTGAGTGGTGAAAAATGTGCTTTTTCGGGTTGAATTCCTGCTCGGCTCCCGGGCGCGGCTTTGAGTGGATTTGCGGGCGGAAAAATCAGTGTAAAAAACATATGATATAATGACGAC